AGACCTACTTTGGATGCTTGAGAAATACTATAGTGTCTTGCCAATGGGTTTCAGCTCTAGGCAAGTTCACTCTTGATTTGGTGAGACTGAAAAATGACAGTAGACATTCTGGGGGTGAAAGGGTTTATACCCAATTTTATTTCCACGGTGGCAGGTCAGGCGCTAGAATTCCATCCACCTCAGAGCAAGCATGCATGCAGCAAGCAGGTCTCTGCCTCCGGGCCTCTCTGTCCCTGAAGCTGTCTCAGTCTCTCCTAGGCACTGCCACATCTCCAGCCTCTGCTCTCCTGAAGCTGTGCTACCCAGAGCACCAGGCAGAGCTCTTTATATAGAGTCAATAACAACCTATTGTCCACATGTGTGTAGTGAGCAAGCCGACTGGGGTCAGGTGAGAATCCTGGCCATAGGAACTTTCATTTTCTCTACATATAGCCTAGATAATTTGGTGCCAGAATTAGTCACTTCACCCTCCAGTAACTGCTATTCATAATATGGCATCCTCTGCCACCCATGACCAGAGCAACACAAAGGAAATCAAGTATTTCCACAGGCCTGCCAGGCCCCCTTCCCTTTTGTAGACATGCACAGTTTGGGCATTACCTTTGGGTTCTACTACAGGGTTCTTTGCTGGTGATCTGCCCAATGGGCTTATGGATGACACACCATCTACTCCTGGGACGCCGAGGCTGGGGTGGCATGCTGATGGATTATACCCAGGCTTCTAGGAGGGCCCCATATGCATAGGCCTGAGCATTATTTCAGAGCTTTAGGTAGTTTTGGGGACTCAATCCAAGGTTGAGGGCAGGTCAGAGCAACTGGGAACCTAACCCTAGAACTGATGAAATTCCTTAACTGCAGTATCTCCTGACTTGAGGGAGAAAGGGAGTTATCTTTCAGGTAGTTCTTTGAAATGGTCCATTTTCAGCTGAGATGTGGGGGGAGGACACAGAACTTCTCACTTTGCCCGCACCCCCTCTTCCCTGAGTATTTTACAGCATTTAGGAGCTCCGCCATATATGTAGAATAACCTCACTTATTTACTAGATCTCATCTAGCCTGACAGTTCTAGTAGACTGGCTATTTTTCCCAGTGTTCAACAATTAGAGACAATAAATTATGTATGCCCCAGGAAGAATTCACCCTCAGGAGGAAAAAGAGCATTCGTTCAACAAATATTGAACTCCTGTTTTGTGCTGGTGTTAGGGGTATAACAGTAAGCAAACAAGGTTCTTACCCTTGTGGAGCTTAGACATTAGACAAGTTATTATAGAAGCTACCACAGTTGTAATAAAGGCTAGAGAAAAAAAGCCTGGTGCTATGCCAAGTTGTACAGGAGGACAAACCTAAATTGTCAGGGTCACGGAAGGCCCCTGAAGAAACTTAAGCTGAGACATGAAATAAACTCTATGGGCCAAATGGGTGTGTGAGGGGTTGGGGACAAGGGTATGAGGAACTTGGAACCTAGGGCCTTGAAGAAGCTGGTGTGGTCTGGGTAGAGAAGGCAGTATGGCGTGAGATGAGCTTCGAGCGGCAGGCAGGACCACACCAGGCAAGACCTCTTGGGTCCCCTTGAGGATTCGCAACCTAAACCTAAGGAGAGTTTTGAGCAGAGAAGTGACACAGATCTACATCTTTATGGGATAACTCTGCTTGGCATGTGAGAATGGATGGACTGGATGTGGGTAGAAGAGAAAACAGGATATTATTGGAACGTAGGGGAGAGAAGTCACACTTGAACACTGGGTGACTTCGAGGCATGAGCGGAGGGCAGCGTCAGTGGGCTTAAAGGTACATTAGTGTGTCAAGTTAAGGGGCAGCAGAGATCAAAGATTATGTTGGACTTCTGGCAAAAAAATGTCTTATTTCTGAGAAATTCAATGGATACTGGTGACATTTCCTAAGGAAAGAAACCCTGTAAGAATTTGGAGGTGTTGTGAACTCCATTTGGGGCATGTTGACTGGGAGGTGCACACAAAACATCCAGGTGGAGATGCAGAAACGGTCAGACGGTCTGGAGCTCAGGAGGGTCTGGTTGGAACTATGAATTTAGCAGCACAGATTTAGAATAGAGATGGAAATTAAGGCCAGGGGCTTGGGAAAGACCATTAGGGAGAAAACATGGTATTAGAAGAGGGCCTGGTACTAAGCCCTGAAGAAGCCTACCACCTGAAACTGGAGCAGAGATAAGCACACTGGTAAAATGCAGGGTGTGGCAGCAGACTCCAGCACAGGCCCCAGGCGTCCTGCTTCCCGGCCCGCTCGTTCTGTGTAATCGCCTCCTGCACGGAGTGGGGCTCCCCTGAGCAGCCAGTACGGCACTGCGTAAACGACCTTGAATGACAGGTTGTGGCTCTACAATGTTTTAAGACCTCAGGGAGACCGAAGGTGGGTCTCAGAGAGCTGATCGAATCAGGCTTTTAAGAATCTTAAGGGTATTGTCCCCCAGCAGTCTGAGAAGCCCAAGGTAGAGAAGGACTTATCTCAGAGAAACTTGTGGGTGGGGCTTTTGCCTGATGGGCTGAACTGCACTAAGACTCACAGGAAACACAGTGTTCAAAAGAACTTTTTGCAGTTAACATTACCAGCTTGGGCTGAAAGAGGCACAGTACAAAATGTAGAGGTTGGACCCCCACAATTCTACTGGGTGGAAGCAGGCTGAGAAAGCCATGTAGCTGTAAATACGGGCTACCTTTTGTGGAAAGGATGCTCGGAGGGCGGAGCCGAGAGCCCAGTCTCCAAGACGGCCCTGACTGTTCCCCACCTTCTAGGACTCATACCTTTGGGTATCCCTCCCACACAGAAGAGAGTAGGATTGACCTGTGTAGCCAGTGTACTGTTAGGTGACAGTGTGTGACTTCTGAGGATAAGTCCTGGAAGACTGCAGCTTCCACCTTGCTCTCTCGGATCGCCTACTCTGGGGGAAGCCAGCTGCCACGCTCCTAGGAGGCCATTCAAGCGGCCCTACTGAGATGCCCACACGGTGAGGAACTGAGGCCTTCTGCCAACAGGCATGTGGACCAGTCATCCTGGAAGGGGATCCTCCAGCTTCAAACGTTTAGATGACTGCAGAGTCAGATGACATCATGAGATGACCCTCTGGAGACCCTCTAAGCAGGAGCTGCCCAGTTAAGCTGCACTCCAATACCTGACCCATAGAAACTAGGAGGTAACATTTGTTGTCTTAAGATGATGTACCTTGGGGTAATTTGTTATGTTAACAGTAAGTAATTAATACAAGGACAAAGGCTGTAAGAATGTAAGTTCATGAAAAGGAAATGCACTATATTTCAAGGAGAGAGCAGACAACTGTGTCAAGTGTGGGATGGCCAAATGCCTTATACTTGGATGACAACAGCCCACATACCAATTCCGAATTTCATTTAGGCTCCTTGATTGTGGAAAACAAAACCAAGCAAACCCCACTATGCTCGGTATTCCTGGTTTAAGAAAATTGAGAGGTTTGTATCGTTCTTTTGAAGGGCTTCATAAAAACATGTTTTGAAAGTCTGTGGTACCTCTCACTGACAGTGGGCAAATGTTCATCGTACTTATCTGGTCTGTCAGAGACTTTCTCATATGCACACACTAGACTGGACAAATGTATGGAGCAGAGAAACCTTCCAAATAGCACCAGGAGGGTTAGATATGTTGCAGCTATTCATACAAGTTAGCTCTGGTGGAAAGCAGAAGTTTCTTATGCTATCAAAGACTCCAAAAATATTTTACCAAAAAACAATCACTACCACCACCTCATATTTATGTTGGAATTTATATATTAATAGTACTTTCACCACAACTTATTTTATGCTCACAACAAACCCTGTGAGGTGGGTGGGTGGGGGGGGTTATAGAAAAGTCAAATACAGTCATTCCTATTTCCCAAATGAGAAAACGGAGGCCTTCAGTTACTGGGTTAAAGCCACACAAAACATTCATGGCTGTAGGTCCTCTGGTGTCAAGTTGAGCACTTTTTCCAAAACATTCACCAGGGACTATTCATCAAGCATTTGCCTTCTATACATCTTCTCTGAACAACTTGAATGTCTTTCCAAAGCAATCCTAATAATGTTTTAATACTGTCCTTTCTGTAACTGGAATCATGGAATGGGTAAGAATTCTCTTCTTCCCACTTTGGTTCCTATGCAGAAGTACAAGTTGAGTGTCAATGCCACCACTGTTCAAAACATTCCTCCTTAGAAGTGGCCTTCAGAGAATCAAAATTCTTCCCAGCAAGAAAACCAGTCTATTAGTTTAGGGTTATGTTTCATTTTTTTAATTATAAATGGCATTTTTATCTTGATTAACTTTCTTAATCACCAGACTTTTAGCTGTTTCCTAAAGCCTGATCTATTCTCAAAGACCAAAACTTAACAAACACTGAGGATATTCAAACACACCTGTTACAGACTGAAGGAAAACCAGTCATCCCAGAAAGCGGACAATATTAAGAAAAAAAATGGCTTGTGTTGTGTTGAGTGGCACTTTATACGCCTTGTCTAATTTAATCTTCAAAAGAATCCCATGGGGTAGGATAAAGGTCTTTGTTTAAACATCACACATACCATATGGTCACATAGGCTGATGCCCTCATTTCGCAAAGGGCACAAACTAATTCCTAAAATTTATACTGTGAGCTCATGCCTGCCAACAGCCACCACCCCCTCAGAAGGCTGATCTGTAGGGTGTTTTCACACATTTTCAAGCTGGTGTTTTGCCATTCCCGTATCCGTGCATGTTTTAGTCCATTTTAAGTAGATGTAGCATGTACAGAATAAAATAAGTCTATTTTTTGGCTTCTGGGAAATTCAAGTTAGACATTTCTGCTCTACGATTCCAAAATGACTTCTACTGTATTCATCCAAAGAAGGACAGAAGAAACAGATTTCAAACTTATCTCTGCTTCTTTTCTTTTCCCATCAGGATTTAGTACAAGGAGGGAAGAAAACGAAAACTTAGTTCAAGAATCTATTCTTAAATAGCAAAAAAGTGAACAGCCAAAATTTGCTACCAGGTATCACTATATTTTCCCAAACCCGTGTTTCTTGAGAACCACCAAGTGTGATCAGCTCACTGCCAGCTCCTCCTTCACAGGGACAGAATCACAGAAGGCACACACATGAGAACTGCTATAACCACGAGTAAGACCAAAAGTCCGCCCCAGACAAGACGCTCAGAGTCATGACTCCCAGGACTTCTGCCATGACCATGGGCTTTAAACCATTCTACTACTTCCTGGAGGTCAAACGGCTGAGCCTCATAACCGAGCTCCTTCTTGGCTTTCTCCAGACTAAAGTAATGTGTGACACCAGTTTTGTAAACTTCGGTGCGTGTGAGGAAGGGCTGGAAATTGTAGAGTCGGCCCAGAATGAAGTGAGCCATCTCTGTTAGGAAAGCAAAGCAGTAGATGACGGTCAACGGCAGGCGCGTGGATGGGAAAGTGTAGCCCAGACCCTCAACCAAAGGCCGGAAGAACTCAAAGTTGTTCACGGGTCTGCCATCTGAGATGAAGTAGGGCTGTCCAGAGGCAATGTGGCCCTTGTCAGCTTTCAGGGCCTCTGAGGCCAGAATGTGAGCCTGTACCAAGTTGTCTACATGGACAAATTCAACCAGGCTCCTGGGATCCCCGTATACAAATTTGAATAGGCCCTGCTCAATGTAGCTCACTATCCTGGGAAGGTGCCTCTGTTCTCCGGGCCCATAGATGCCAGCCGGCCTCAGAGCACAGGTTCGCAAGACACCATCGCTTCTTTCCAGGGCTGCACCACTTGCCTCCAGCACCTTCCTCTCTGCAATAGACTTGGTCCGAGAGTAGTGATCAGGGTGGAGGTGAAGGGGTAAGTAGGGCAGAGATTCATCTCCGTTTCTGATAACTTGACCTCCGAAGACGACATTAAAGGTGCTAGTGTAAACTAACCTTGGCACCCCTCTCTGCCTGCAAGCTTGGAGGATGTTGTCTGTGCCCCCGACGTTGACTTCCTCAATCAGGTTTGGGTTCAGCTGCTCTCGCCCTGACATGCCATAAGAGGCAATATGGAACACGCAAGTGACATCGGTGTCCTGGAAGGCTTTCTCTATGTCAGAGAGGTGGCGGATGTCTCCACGTACAAACTCGATGCCTTCTGGAATGGTCTGAGCAGGGCTGCTGAGGTCAAACAGAAGCACGTGGAATCCCTTCTCATTAAGAGCACAGCCTAGGCTGAAATGAGAGAGTAAGTCTGATCGAACTGCTATTAAGCGATGCCTAGGAAAATAATCTACCCGTCAATGTGGGGCTGACCCAGGAGTGCCCTGTCCTGAGTCCCTCACTGTACAGCTCTTCCTTATGCGACTCACCCTTATGCAAACACTCAAAAATGAGAATCCTTACATTTGCTTAAATTACAATGAGAGCTTTTATCTTCAATGATAGTAGCATCTGCATGTCACATTTCCCCCCTCATTTCAGAACCCGCCATCCATTCTCTTGAATTTATGAATGATAACATAACTGGGAAAGAATAGCCATTATTTAGAAATTGTTTTTGGGGATATGAATGATCTCTCCTCCCCAGTTTAATGGTTTTACAAAGAATTTTTCTTCAAGGAGGACATATCTGTAGTTCTGAAGTTGATACCTAAGCAGTGGACAACAGAGTTCACTTCTGGCTTAAGACTATACAAACACACAAAAGTGTACACAGTATTAATGTCAGAGTTCCAACCTATACTTTCCAGCAACTTCCAGAAAAATAATTCCATGGGCATATTTTATCAATGCACTGACCGGAAACCAAAATAGCCACCTCCTCCTGTAACGAGGACAGTTTCCTTTGGAGATTTTTGCGAGTCCATATGTGTCGGTCAAAAGATCACTGGACCTGTAGGAAAGAAGTATGCGACACTGGTACTGAGCCTCTGCGCCTATCGCTGCATCTACAAAAGTGGGGCCGCTGATAAGCTCACAGGCTTACAAAGACCCAATGGGAAAGAATATAAAAAAATGCCCCGCAAAATGCCTGACATGACTTGAGCAACACATGGACATCATTTCTCAAATTTCCTTTTCTTCATGTGCTAGAATTTAGGGATTCAGTTACTCTACTACAGTCCCACGTACCGTGATTAGGTCCCTTGAAAGCACAGAGTTACAGAGAGTTTCACAAGTTCTTTTGGAGAACTGACCTACATTGATCAGATTGCCAGGAAAGGTCATCATTCATGAAGAAATCTTAAGACAGCTGAAGACAAGGTTCAGTGACTCAGGGGTCTGAGGGGGTGTGGAAAAGAAGAGTGAGAAATGTTAGGAAAACTGAGCTAAATGGTGAGGAGGATGGCTGATGGATTACAGAGGCTTGACTAACAAGTGCCACAGTTGTGCTTCTAAGAAAATTTGTGAAGAATGAAGTACCAGCAGCCCTTTAATATGCCCAATCGTGACCTTATGATTCTATTATTTTCTGAGTGCAGAACACTCCCCCTTGGATTTGGAGTAGCCACAAAAATGAATGTAGTCAGTTCTATTCTATTATTTAACATCATCACCATGACTTTGTTACAGAGGCTATTTTCAAACACAGATGTCAGATGTATATTTCAATCCAGATTTCTTACCTTCATCTACTTGACCTGGTTCTATCTCCCTCTCTGGTTTCATCTCATATTCTTCTGCTATTGGCATGCTACCCTCCAGCCACCTGGATTCTTTCCTTCAGATGCCAAACTCATTCATTCCTTGAGAACTATGAAAAGTTCCAATTTTGCCTTGAGGGGAACCATCACTCCATCAGATCTCTGCCTGGCTGCATCTTTCTCAATATTTAGGTCTGCTGGCATTCTTACTCAACTCAGAGAAGCTTCTCTGATAAACCTATATAAAATCTCACCTTTACCTTACATGCTGCTTTGTTTTCTTCACAGGACATTTCACAACCTAAAATTACTTGTCTACTTTTTTACTATCTCCTTCCAATAGTACAAAAGTTCCATGAAAACTAAGACCTTTTGCCTTTTTTACCGGCACGTCCCTACAAGAACCTACAACAGAGCAGACTCAACAAATATTTGTTGAGTTTATGGATCATTTTGAACACCATGAAATACATGCAACTTAGTAAAATTATGATGTGCACAAATTATGCAGGGTCCTGTAGTGTCTGTCATTATGTATGTCAATTAACACTGCCATTCTAACTTATCTCCTAAAAAATTCTGGGTCACATAATGAAAATGACACAAAGAGCAATTGCAAAAAATTCCTGCATTTTGGAGCTTACCATGGGGAAGAGAGGCTTTTGCAAATATCTAAAATACAAGGCAAAAAGGAGAAAACAGATCACTGTTATGAAACTGGTATAAACAAGAGGCTGTGGGAGCTGAGGAGCTGCAGGGCAGATCAGAGAAGACTTCCCCGAGGAGTGGCCGGTAGAGCTCAATGGGAAGGTAGCTGATATGAGGCAGAGGGTTTCTGCAGGCTGAGGGAGCATGAGTAAAGGGAACAGCAAAAGAGAAGGCTGTGTTGGGCACCCGAGATGGCCAGGCCCCTGAGGCTGGTGTGAAACTGAGGCCCAAGTATGCAGCTGGTGATCTAGGGTGGAGACAGTGTGAGGTCAGCTTGCAGGGAGCTGGACTTGTATTCTGCAGACAACAGAAAGCCTCCACAGGCTTACTGAAGGGCATGCTCACTTTGGTCCTTGCTCATGATGAAGCTTTCCACGAAGGAGGGAGAGTCTGGAAACAGGCAAGGGTCTGGGAAGGGGTTCCCGGGATCTGCAAGTGAGGACAGATGCCAGAGCGCTCAGCTAAAATTAGGACGATGGGTGGCAAGCAACTGAATGAGGCCACGGCAGGCAGCATCCAGGGGAAGCTCAAGGAGAGTGATGTCGTTGACTGAGAGACAGATTTTAGAAATGCTGTCTGGCTGAGTTTTGATTAATAGGATGCCAGACAACAAGGTTTAAGGCATTCTTAATATCTCCACAAGAATTCCACTGCAAGGGATTCGGAAAATGGACAAGGTCTCAAGGGGTCCAATTAAGCAAATTCCGACAGAAATTTGTCCTAATCTCCAATTATTCTGTTTGCAAAACTGTACATTCTAGACTAGTCACAAGACCACAGGTCAATCATGGCTCATGTGCACATGAATCATGCTGGGAATGTACAAGTTCAAATTATTAATGCTTCAGTGTACCTGCCAGGCTTATTCATGCTTCTCCTCATTTGCCTTCCTACTAATTCCAAAATGATCCAAGGCAAGAACTTGTACAACTGACCTGGCCAAGAGGGTCAGATGGGAAAGGGGGCAATGAGTAAGGAAATACTGATGGTTTAGCAAGACCGACAGCTATCCATTCAGGTGGGTTAAACTTTTACAGATTACCAGCCATTAACTGTACCACCCAGGAGCCATCTCCTCCCTTGCAGGCTCCCTACATCAATAAGCAGAGAAAAACTGTAGCAAGCACGTCTCAAGAAAAACTGCAAGCAGGTCCCACGAGCACTCAGCCAGAAGGGAGAAGAAGCCTACACGCAGTTTTTCTTCAATCGGCTGCCGGACTTTTATATAACTTACGGCTTCTGTTTTATTAATTAAGTTCAGTCGATTCCTTCCAGGGCTGGGCGCTCAGACCAGTTTCTATAATTGCAAGTGCTTTGGGGCTCTTCCAAAACACAGCTTTGTTCAGTAATTGCTTTTCCTCTGAGTGGAGGGGAAGGGTTACATCTGATCTGAGCAGCCATCCTGGTGGAGACAGGTTAAAGTTAAGTGCATCATCGAGAAAAGGAATCTTAATTACAAACAGGAAAATAAATGAAATTTAAAATGTGCCTGACCTCTTGATAAAACCAAGATAAAGCGAGGGTAATAAAGTTGACATCTCACAGGGAAGTTAGGAGAAGAAACTCATAAAAATGACTATGAGTACTTTAGATTTTCAAAGCCCTAATTAAATGCTAAGGATCAGTAATAAGAACCTTAGATCATGCACCCAGTTCCTTTATCCCAAGTATAAGATGACCATACCACTAAACCTCCTGTATTATAAGGCAGTATACAGATCTATGTGCCAATGGAATACGGAACGCTGAATTGAGACTGTTCTCATAAAAATGAAATTTTACTGTATTTACCTTAAGACAGATAAAAATATCTCCAGGTGGTTGTGGTGGTGTGTTTTAAATTCCTGCCCAAGTACTGACTAGAGGTAAAAGGTAACTGTCTTACTGTATTGAGATCAGGAAAATACAGAGGCTGGAGGATTAGAGAAGGTGCTGTTCAAATTCCATGCATGATCTCAAAATTACCTGTGTTAATTATTAAGTAGTCAGAGCAATTAAGATGAAGGAGTAGTTAGGGACGAGAGCCCTGATGCAGGTGAAAGGGTGACTAGCCCTGATACAGGCGAAAGGGATGTTAGGTCTAAAACCAGACTCTTGCAATTCATTATGTTTAGGACAAAAATAATAATTTTCTGACTGTTATTCCCCATCTGCTTTCCCAACTACCATATAAACCCCATGTGCACACAGGCCATTTCTCCAGGAGTATCTGCAGGGACAAGAGGTATCTATCCAGCAGATTGCAGACCCAGTAAATCTAAATGGAACGAATATTCTGCAGCCTTTTCACATGCCCCCTTCTGCTCTATCCGCAAGGAGAGCCAGAGTACTTTCTCCTCTCCCGAGGTCAGCCGGTCTGCCACTCCAACATAGCCAAGTAGTATCAGCTGCCACTTACTAAGCACTAACCATTGGGTTGGGCCCTTTCCATGAACTATTTCCCTTGATGTCCTATGAGACAAGTACTTATTTGTTAATCTCATTTACTGCAGCAATAAAATGGTAGAGCTGGGATCTGTCCCATTGGAACCCAAGGGTGTCTGACTTCACGGCTTATGTCTCAGCCACAACAGCACCTGGGGTGAGGTCCCTGACCTGCAGCAGCTGAGTCTATGCCGATCTGAGTCCTGCGGGGTCTTTCATAGCTAATGTATTTTACAAGCTCCTCAGGGCCCCTCCAATCCCCACAAGGGCTCGGAGGAGGTGCCCCATCCTCTCCCACGAGGCAGATGTGGTGGGAATGTAGGGTTCAGCTCCCTAGGTTGTTAATCAGAAAATGTGGATCTTAGACTTGGCTCTACTACCAATTCCCTGCATGACCCTGGGCAGGCCTGAACCTCTCTGATACTATGTCCTCCTCGCTAAAATGAAAACAATAACTATGGCTACTTTTATTACTTATTATGAGCTAGCTGCTGTAAGGGCTTTAAAGGCTCACCACTGAAGCCTCAGGACAATCTTCTAGATAGTTACTATCCTCAGTTTTACAGAGATGAGGAAAAAGGTTAAGAAACTTGCCATATATATATCCGAAGTGAATGAAATCACTCTCAAAGATACCTGCACCCCCATAGGCATTTCAGAATTGCTCCCAGTAGCCAACACATGAAGACAACCTAAATGCCCATCAATGAATGGATAAAGAAAATGAGGTGTATTTATATACAACAGAATAGTATTCAACCATTAAAAAAAAAAAAAGGAAGGAAATCCTGCCACTTGTAACAACATGAATGGAACTTGAGGGTCTTACATGGAGCAAAATAAGTCAGGAAAGATAAATACTGTATGATCTCACTTATATGTGGAACCTAAAAAAAGCTGAACTCAGAGAAACAGAGTGGAATGGTGGTTAACAGGGGCTGGGGGATTGGAGGATATGAGGAGCCGTTGGTCAAAGTGTACAAATTTCCAATTATAAGACAGTAAGTTCTGGGTTGTAACATAGAGCACAGTGACTATAGTTAACAATACTGTATTATAGGCTTGAAAGCTGCTAAAAGAGTAGATCTTAAAGTTCTCAGCACAAGCACAAGAAACTGTAAGTACGTGAAGTGAGATGTTAACTAATCTTATACGGTGGTTATTATTTCACAACATATATGGGAATTGAACCGTGGAGTTGCACACCTTAAAATTACACAGTGTTATGTCAATTAGCTCTCAATAAAGCTGGAAGAAAATAAAATCTTTAAAAAACTCCAAAAACAAAAAAACTGGCCCACAAATCATGTCGGTCACAAGTGGCTGAGCTGGACCCAGCACTCGGAATTAGGTGTCCGGACTCCCCAGCCTGGGCTCTTCACCATTATCTGTCGCTGGGGTTGGGACAAGGCAGTGTTCGTTTACCACCTTCAGGATTTGCCACACCTGGTACTCTGGTACACTTACCTGTTACCTTCACACGAAATACATTCGTGTTAAATGGGAACCTTACGTTGCCACTTTAAACGGGAGACCAGAATAATTTGTCATAAAGATGTGTTCTCCCTCCAAGACGTGAGAGGCAAACAAGCGACGCGAATCCAGTGTAGAGGTGCGTGCTAAAAGCTCTGAGCTTGGGGCTTGCTAAAAAACAAGAAAAAAAAAAAAAAAAGGACGAGAAATGGTAGTTAGCCAGTGTTTGTGGCCCCTGCAGCAGTCGAGGAAGGCCCGCCGGGCGCGGCTCCCCGCAATCGGGGAGGACAGCGCGGGGGAGGCGCGCCAGCCCCGGCCGGGGGTCACTCGCTACGCACCCGGCGCACTTGCCGCGGGGCTCGGCTCACCCGGCGGCCGCCCCGGCAGGCAGAGGCAGGGGGACCCTCGGGCCGCCCCCGGGGCGCGCACCAGCCTCGGCGCGCCGGCCAGCCCCGTTCCGGCCCCCCGCGGAGGGCGCCCTCCCGCCCCCGGCCCACTCACAGCGGCGCGGACGCGAGACGGGGCGGCTCAGGGCTCTGGCGGGCGCTCGTCTCTGCCGCCGCTGGCTCCGCGCACAGCCCGAGCCGTCGGACCGGCTCCGGGAGCCAATTCCGGGCCTCTCTAGGCCGCTAGGAGGTCACGGCATCTCTGTGATGCGCAGGTTTCTGCGCCACCCTCACCTGTGATGGCGAGCAGGCTCACCCCGTCGTCGATCTGCCCCTTGTGCCCAGCCCAGGTGTTCCAGCTTCTCCGGAGCCCTTTGGGGGTCACGTCTACTGCTCTCCCCACCTCCATTTCCTGCCTTTAGACTTCCACCTCCACCTTTGTGTACCGCCAATGCTGAGCACATTCCCTGGGAAAGAGGAGGGGCTCAGCTCAGCCAGTACTGCTTGAATGGATGGATGGATGGATTGGGGGATGATGGAGGGTTGGATGCGTGGCTGCTGAGGCTCCGTGAGACTTCAATGTTCATTCTCCATGTATCTTTTTAAGTCTTTATTTGAGTTTGCACGTTTATGTGCACCTGTATGTTTTCCCATATCCTTGACTTTCCTTATTTTTCCCAGTTCTAGTAGGTGTGAGGGGATGGCAGCGAGGCACCACCAGCTTCTGGTACACACCAGCCTCCTGTAGTGCTGTGCCTTTCAAGGGTGCTATTGGGTGTCTGTCCTATCTCAATGGTTTCCTTGGGCAAAGCTCCTGAGATATCTATTGGGAAAGTGGCTTGTGACACGAGTCCTAAAGAATGTGCTAGAGTTTGCCCAAGGAGAAGAGAAGAAAGGGACATTTTGGTGGGAGAAATAACAGGGCTAAAGCATAGTCAGGACTGAGTACCTTGTGTTTGAAGAATGAAGAGGTGCTGGTTATGTCTGTTCTGGGAGGAAAAAGGAGATACTGTGCTGTGTGCCTCTCAGATTACTTAATCTGGTGGGGAAGAACTTGTCCATACGTTGGGACTGTCCAGAGGGCTGCCGCAAGATGTAGGAAGTCTATAGGAGAAGGTGTGATCCAGATCCCCATATTCCACCCTTTTCCTGACATGTTCTTGTCCAAATAAACCTCTTTACTGCTTCTGGAAGCTTCTTTAGAGCTCTGCTGTGGTTTCAGGGAATTCCAGCATCTGAAAACACTGTCCTGACCTACTTTGAAGGGTCTCCTTTTGCCCCTTGACTTGAAATCATTTCTCCAGGGAGCCATACTTCCGGGGGGCTGGGGGTGGTTTTCAAACAATATGTGTTGTGATCAACTAATGTCATAACTATTATCCTACCTATAGTGTAGTGGTAAACTCATACTATAGAAGTAATGAATGACTTATGTTTCTAATATTTAGACTTAGACAAAGTATAACAGGAAGGCAAGAAGCATATATTTTGGAGTCAAGGAAATGGAGATTTGAACCCTGACGCTGCACAGAGGAGTCTGGAACTGACGAATTGAGACGACGCTTGTGTCTCCCACAGACACCTGATAGGCAGTGTTGATGCTCTTGTTACAGATCGGGCACAAGAGTACGTGTGAGAAACGTGTACAGAACTGTCCACAGCTGCATTATTCCTAATAGCTCCAAAGAAGAAACACCTCAATTGTCCATCAATGGATGAGTGGGTAAATGAAAAGTGACACAGCTGTCATTTACCTGCAATGTCCAGTCTGGGCCAATCTGTAGAGACAGAAAGCAGCCGAGGAGTTTGGGGTGAAATGGGCATGAATGCTATGGGTATGGGGCACAGGGTTTATTTTTGGGTAATGAAATGTGGTGATGGCTGAGTAATTCTTTGAACACTGAAAACCACGGATTTGCACACTTGAAATGGGCGAATCGTATGATATGTGAATTATATCTCATTGACACTGTTACACCTACAATAATGTCAGTCTCATTGTAATTGCAATGTTGTTTGAGTGGGAGAGGGCAGGATGGCCTATCTGTCACCCAGGATGTGCCCACACAGTGTGTCATAGGTTGCGTTATCAATACAGGTAAAAGTTTAGGAGCGATTGCCTTAGAGAAGTAAGCATAAATCTTCCTACCATCTCAATATGACAGCTTTGCTCTCACCTTCCTCTTTCTCCGGGCATGGAGGAAAAAAAGCACAAACCTGGAGGGAAAGTGAGGTTTGAATAATAAGTGGTTTTCAATTAGCTGCACTGAAAATTGAGAGTCAGCTTGTATTAATTTTCATGATCACATTACTTCATTTTGTCTCTCTAACTGCTAGGGTAATTTTATGCCAGGATTATTTTAGTCATTGTAATTATGCATGCATCAATATTTAGTGGGTGTTTTTGTAACCCACAGCATACCCACATGTTTTCTTCCCTCAGAGACCACAGCAGTACAATATAATATGAGGAGGTGGCGCACACCGCAGAGATGAGGTTCTTTTTATTGCCCCCTCCTTGATTATAAAGAACATTCAGGTGGTTCCTGAAAGAGCAGGGTGTATGCTATTCAGATGGATCTCCAAAACTAAAGGCAGTACTCTAAACGCTGTGAGTTCATTGTATAACATTAAATGCAATTCTTGCACAGATGTTTCATTAGGGATTCAGTTATGCAAGACAAATTAAAATTTACCATTTGTTTAAATCTTCCTTTTGCAAAGAACCTTGCCTCTCCAGTTGTCATGCGTTCGAACTTCTGTCACGGACAGTATCACGTACCCCCTTTTCCTGCAGAACCCTCTCGCCTTTAACCACCCTCCCTATTTATGCTCTCCTCTGCCTCCTCCTTCTCTTCCTCCCCCTCTTCCTTCATCCCTCATCACCATTTTCTTTCTTTGGCTCCTTTGTATTTTCTTCCCAGCTCCTAACTGGGGAAAACCCGAGATTCAACCTGCAGCTTTCTTCTACAGCTACATCTCTTTTCTTTCCTTCTGCTTCCACTCGGGCTTCCTGATGGCCTCCTAACTAGAGGAACCCCAGAGTGTCAGTGAGTCACTCTTGGCAGTCTGGAAGGTTCCATCATCTCTTAGAGGATCCATCCCAAGGCCAGACCACAGGGCCTTCTAGCTCCCTTCTTGCCCCCCACAATCCAAAGACATCTCACTCCTGCACCACTCCCCCAAGTCCTGTGGATTGCAAGGAAGCTGAGAGAGAGCCTTAGTTAAGAGAATAGGACATGAAGTGGGCCAGTGCAGGGCCCAAAGGCACAACGTAGACCTCAGGGCCTGGGAATGTGGACAGAGAGAGAGAGAAAAGAGCAGAGGAAAGGGTGCCTGCCTATCAGTGGGATGACTCCCCAGTGGACATTGATCTTTGACTCCGAGGCGTCATGTTTAACGAGGTAGACTCGGAGTTGAGTAAATCACAATAGTGCTAATTTCAACACAAATACAGTATTGTGAATGCAATATTTTTCCTAAAATACTTTAATCTTATCATGTGTCTTAAGTACATTTTAAAGCAACTTTGTAACTGAAGATTTACCTCATTCAACTTATGGAAAATAGTCATCATGTAATTGGCAAAGCTATTCTACATTGCCAAATCAGTCCGTCAAGTCAAAGTATTTGAATTCTTTTTTGAGTTTTATGCCCCAAATTATACTGAATGATCATCTGTTAGAAAAAAGTGTGACTTCGTATTTCAGTTCAAATAAAAACAACAGCCCCGTCATGACAAGTGTTTCATTTTTAGTAGATAGATCAATTGATTGTGGAGTTTTGTGTCGTTGCCATGAGTTTGTTACTTGGGTTATTTTCAAGGGAAGATTTAGAGCATGTTAAGGAGGAAGGCAGTGGGGTTAGGGTGCACTGAACAGGAGACCTGAGAACAAAGAACTAAAGGAGGCCAGGGAGTCAGGTGAGTGGACCAGAGCACAGCAGGCAGAGGGCAGAGCCGGGAGAGGCTGCCAGGCAGGACCAGGCCAGTCTGAGGGGTGGCATGGAGGCCCTCGTGGTCCGAATGGAGTGATGAGGGAACAGAAGTCAAAGATGCAGTCCACAAGCCGCAGGGCCAGATCGTCTAGCCTTGGAGCCTTTTAAGGATTCTGGCTTTTGCTCTGGGTGAGACGGGCAGCCTTTGGCACAGGTTTTTAGCATAGGATGTGATGTGATAGGACTCAGTTTATCAAGTGACTTCTCTGGTCCTAGGCTGAGAACGAACTGTAGAGAGACAAGGGTGGGATCAGTGGGGCCTCTGAGGCGGCTGTTGCTGGAACCCAGGCCAGAGGAGAAGGTAGCGTGGACAGGCTGGCAGTGGAGTGCCAGGGAGTGGATGTATTCTGAATATATAGGCAGCAAGATTTCTTGATGGATTGCATGTGGGATGAGTCCAACAACAATGTCGAGGGGGGTCCAGTGCCCATATGCTGTCCTATAGAAGGACGAGGTTGCCCTCGCAGAGACGGGGAAGGCCATGGGCGAAGTACGTTTGGAGCATGGCAGCTGGGGAATAGGATTTAGAGTGAGCTGATAACTGCAGGGTAGCGGGCGGAGAAGCTAGAGTCCTTGGGACCAC